AAAGCTTAAGCTCATGTGCTGTCCCAGCACTCCTGACTCCCAAAAAGAATGGCTACTGGAGGATATGTGTTGATAGCGCGCTATCAACAAGATTACTGTGAAGTATTGCTTCCCCATTCCTCGCTTGGATGACATGTTGGACATGATGACCAGAGTAACTCTCTTTTCTAAGATCGATCTTAAGAGCGGTTATCATCAAATCAGAATCCGTCTAGGGGACGAATGGAAAACGACATTTAAAACTAAAGATGGGTTGTACGAATGGATGATCATGCCATTTGGCATTAGTAACACTCCTAGTACGTTCATGAGAGTTATGACTCAAGTTTTGTGCCCGTTTTTAGGAAAATTCGTTGTTGATTATTTTGATGACATTTTAATCTACAATAGTTCGGTGGATTAACATCTTGATCATCTAAGACAAGTCTGTGAGATTCTGAGAAAAGAGCAATTGTATGCAAATCCTAAGAAATGTATGTTCCTCACATATCGTGTCACTTTTCTCGTATTTATTATATCATCTCAAGGAATATCAGCTGACCTTGAGAAAGTTCGAGCGATTAATGAGTGGCCTGAATCAAAAAATATCAGAGATGTTCGGAGTTTCCATGGATTGACCATCTTTTATCGGAGGTTTATTATGAATTTCAGCACGATTGTGGCACCCATAACTGACTGTTTAAAGAAGGGAGAGTTCCATTGGGCCTTATTTTCCATTAAAGCATTTGAGGAGATCAAAAAGAAAATGTTCGAGGCCCCAGTTATGCATCATCCTGATTTTTCTAAAGTTTTCGAAGTAGCCTATGACCCGTCAGGCATTGGTATAGGAGTTTTGTCGCAAGAGGGACACCTTGTTGCCTATTTTAGTTAGAAGTTGAATGATATCTGGCAACAGTACTCGACCTACGATAAGGAGTTTTATGCGATCATCTAGTCCCTTAGGTATTGGAGACACAACTTGCTGCGACAAGAATTCGTTATATATTTGGACCACGAGGCTTTGCGCTACATTAATTTGCAAAAGAAACTCAATGATCATCACGGTCGTTGGGTTGAATTCCTGCAAGAATACACTTATACGATTATACACAAAGAAGGATCAAAGAATAAAGCTGTCGATGCTCTAAGTCGCTGGATGATGATTACTCATGAAATGAGGACTGACGTGATAGGTTTTGAGCGACTTAAGGAAGACTATTTAGATTGCCCTGATTTTAAAGAGACATACTCCACATTGTCGATTAGAGGTGAATGGATGGTAGCTGACTTCATATTGGAAGATGGTTACTTATTTAAATCTCAGAATCTATGTATTCCCAATACTTCACTTCGAGAATTCCTCATTTGAGAATTACATGCTTGAGGTTTAGCTGGACATTTTGGGCAATCAAAAACCATTGTTGTTGTCAAACATAGATTCTTCTGGCCCAGTCTGAAGTGAGATGTTAGTAGGTTGGTCAAGAGATGTTATACTTGTCAGTTAGCTAAGCAAAGGAAACAAAATACTGATCTCTACATGCGCCTTCTCATACCCAACTGTCCTTGGCAGGATGTTAGCATGGATTTTGTTCTAGGTCTACCCAAGTCTTTTAGAAAACATGACTCTGTGTGTGGTTGTGGATAGATTTTCCAAGATGGCACACTTCCTTCCGTACTCCAAAACGTTTGACGCTTTTAGGATCGCCAAATTGTATTTTGATGAAATTGTTAGGCTTCATGGGTTACCTAAAACTATTTTGTCGGATCGAGACGTAAAATTCACTAGCTATTTTTGGAAGACATTATGGTTCAAAATGGCCACTAAACTACAATTTTCCACCACTTTCCACCCTCAGACGGAAGTTGTAAACAGGAGCCTGGGTAACCTCCTTAGGACCTTGGTAGGCGAACACCTTAGAGATTAGGATTTTAAGTTGCTTATTGCCGAGTTTGCTTATAACAATTCCATTAACCGAACCTCAGGTCTGAGTCTAGCTGAAATTGTGTACGGATACCAACCTAGATAACCAATAAATTTAATTCCCATGGGTCCTAAGTCTAGAACATATGAGTCTGCATCTGCATTTGCATCACATCTAAAAGAATTGCATAAGGAAATTAATAAAAATATTGAACAAAACAATGCTAACTATAAGTGTAATGTAGACCTCAAGAAACGATTTAAAGAATTTGAAGTGGGAGACTTTGTAATGGTTCAAATTCGTCCGGAGCGATTCCTGCAAGGGGTCGTTAAGAAACTACATATGAGAAGCGCAGGACCTTTCAAAATAACATTCAAATTAAATAGTAATGCTTATGTGTCAGACCTTCCCGATGGTTTTAACATTAATTCTACGTTTAACATCGAAGATCTTGTAGCCTTTGAGGGTCCAGATTTTAACCCCACTAATCCACTAAATACTGAGCCTTGTGTGATCCTATCTGGTGAGAACCCTACCCTACCTCCACTCCCAAGCATTCCCACTTTACCCACTGCGGAGAAGATTGTGGCAATACTTAACGATGAAATTATTTCCACTAAAGCCGGCAGTCGCCAAAGGTATCTAGTTCAATGGGCAGGGAAGCCGGAGATGGAGAACACATGGATCGACCAGAATGAGCTGTAGAGATTGAACCCTGATCTACTGGAGTAGTACGAGAGATCCATGGATGCTTACTCGACTGTGTCGAGCTTTCTCTCACCTGGGAAGAATGATGAGGACATCAGTCACAGATTTTGATGTGTATCGTCGTCGGAGTCGTATATCGACGGCTATGATCCAGAGTCTTTACTTTTGATATATTTTGTATTTTATATTTTTTTGCATTTTCTGTTTTCATAATTTACCCCTATGGGTAATGAGTCGCTATTGTAGCTCCGATGGTACTTGTGTCTTTTTGCTTTTCTTTTATTGAGGCCTATATATTAAGGTCTCTTAGCTTTGTAATGGGATGATTATTGAAATGAAAATTCAGCTCTTTGTTTTAGATCTCTTGATGAGTTCTTGAGAGAAGAGACCGTAGTCGAGGGATCAAGCAATATCCGTCAACCTTTGGTGGATTCCGAGGTTCGCGACTCTTCCTTTTCCTTCCCCCTACACCTGCCACCTTCCCCTTCCCAAACCGAGCTCCACTTCCCTAAACCTCCCAAACCCGTCGGCCCTTGACTGCCCAAATCGCTGGCCAGTTCAACCAACAAGCTGTCGTCCACCTTCCCAACCTGCCAGTCTACCGTCCACCACCCTCCATCCGTCCATCCACGAACCCACCGCCGGCCCACCTTGCCCTCCAATTTGAATTCCTCAAATTCAAATTAATTCAAAACCTTTCCTATTTTAATTCCTAGCTATTTAGGAAAGATCCCAACTTGAATTCAATTAATTAAATGAATTCGAATTCTTTCCTAAAGCCTACATCCAAGATAGGAAACCTCATATTTAAATCCAATCTGAAATTCAATTAAGTTTTAATTTGAATTAGTTACTTAAACCTTGGGGACCACCTAATTAAAACAAATCCCCTTCTTCCTCTCTCTATATGGCCGGCCCCTTTATTGGGCCTCTCTCTCTCCCAATTTAATCCCAAATCCCCACGAAATCAGCCCCTAACCTTCTCCTAATTGCTGCCCCTAGCCCTTAATGGATTAATTTGAATTTTTCAAATTAATTCCCTCTAAATCCACTCAAATCTGAATTTAATTTCAGATTTCTAATTTTCCCTAATTCCTTCCCCAACCTATGCGTTCCCCCCCTCTTCCTCACGCCGTCCCAACCACCTCCTCCACTACCCAAGCCGCCGGCCTCACTCTCCACCCGCCACCTCCTCTCCCTCTTCTTCCCCACTCATACTCTCTCATTTCTCACGGCAAGCATGTATGACCGATCCGGAAGTTGATCACGGGTTTATTCTCAATTCTCAAGAGGACATTGTCGTCATCCAATCATCATTCTTTGACCCCAAATTTGGATCCGAAAGTACCGTCAAGGAATACGTTAATCGTATCCTCCCCCACTTAGTGGACGTCATCGACGAACAAAGCCCTATTGGAGAGTGGAAGATCACCAGACGACCACTCGTTCCTCCAACTCCGACTCCTTCCCCGGCGACTAGCACCCTTGGCATCTCATATCTTCTAGTGACGTCTCTAAGTTTGCTTGCAACATTCTTCCGCTATGCCAATCACTTTCAAGAGTGTGAGTGAGGGATCCCAAGTTGAACGATCTAATTATTAAACTGTGAATTTTGTTAACTTGCCATTTGTTTTACTCATTTGTTCGTTGTTGTTATTTTGCAAGTATCCTAGTAATCTCAATTGTAATTGTTTGCTAGTACTTAGTCTTTTCATGAAATTTTCTAAGATCTAACTTGTAGAAGCATTCGTTTATATTTAGCCAAGCAAAGTTCACAATTTATTAATTTCTTAAAGTAATTCTTGTTCATCATCATTGTTAGACATCATTTTAATTCCAAATGTCCAAAATGAATGGTTTGATATTATAAATGTCTTATACAAATACTATGCATTTTCTTTGCTTCAAATCTAAGCGCTAGCAAAATTAAAATAGTGCATTTTATTTTTTCTCACTACATCCTATATTTCTAAAATTTATGCATTTTAAATCCTAAGTATTTGAATTTTCCTAGAAGAAATATGTTTTTTTTGAGGGAGAAGGGAGTAAAAACTCTAGTTACTGGTGTAAATGCTTTAAATAGATTGCTTTGAGGAATTACATGAGATAGCTATTTTAACATAAATGAGCAGGAAATTTTGAAAGACACTCATTTTCATTTTAACAAGTTTTCCTAATTCCAATTATTTTAGCCAACTTCTCTAATAATATATACCCGGAATCATCTAAAACATATGTTTATATCACCTAATGTCTTTTTTTTGTTAATATTGTTGATGTTACTAGGTGGGTTTCAATGAACTTTACAACAAAATTTTTTTTTTCTCATACAGTTCAGTTCATCATACAAAGTTATATGTTCTATTAACCAATTACATAATCCCCACTCAGATAAGCAGGTCCCCTGTTTTCAAAGCCATGCTGGAGACCGAGATGGAAGAGAACAAGAGTGGAATGATTAAAATCTACGACGTCTCGTACGAAGTTCTTCGCTCCTTCGTCAAGTATTTGTACACTGCAGAAGTACTCCTTGATGAGCAGATGGCGTGTGATCTTCTGATTCTTGCTGAGAAATACCAAGTTAAACATCTCAAGTCCTTTTGTGAAAAATTCATGACTTCCAAAGTGAATAATGAGAATGCCATCGCAAGCTACGCCTTTGCTCATCAACACCATGCTAAGCAATTGATTGAAGCTGCTTTGTCTTCAATCATAGAAAACATATCCACATTAACTGAACGTGAAGAATTCAAGGAGCTTTTGGAGAGGGATCCCCGACTTGTGGTGGAGATATATGAAGCTTATTTAACTAGGCAGGTGAATACTGCAGAAAAATAAAACCTTCTTACTAAACATTTCAAAACATAATGGAAAAAAAAAAAAAAGATTGTCTTTGTAGTTTTATGGAGTATGTTATGGGAATCTAAATTTAACTTTCTTCTTAATGCTCAGTGTTCTTAGGGAGCTGAGCTGCAAATCATGATGTACTTTTGGGAATTTGTATTTATTTCCTCCGATTATTATTCTACCTATTCTGTCCATTAAAATTGGATTAGGTGTTCAGGATCAATTTTATGAAAAGCATAGTGCTTTTCATAAAATTATGAAATTATTCCTTAAAACTGGATGATGGAGATAACTGAACCAGTTAATATGGTAGAGTGGATTCTGATCCTTCAAATATAGCTGGAGAGATTCTTCAGCATATGATCAAAACAAGGGTTGAGCTTATGATGGGAAAAAATCAAAAGCTAATTCGATTATTATTATTTTTTTACTTAAAATTTTAAAAAAAAGAAACAATTAAATTACTGTTATCATTTATAAGATGATCAAATTCATTTTTTATAGTGAGCTGATATCAAATAACCCAATTAAGCTAAGTGTTGCGCAGAAGGATATATATTTAGATGAATGAGTGAATTTACTTTTAAAGGAAAATTTATTCTGTGGATGCAGAATTCCGTCTGGATGTCTAAACTGCGGCTTGGTACTGCGGTACCGAGCATGGTTATTGCTTGGTACCGTGGCTCGGTATTTCTGATGTGTCTCATTTTGATTGGTATTCGGATGTAGAATTGCGTTCGGCATCCGCACAAAATATCTCTCCTTTAAGAGATAGAATGTTAACAAGTACATACGTGAAAAAGCTGGAGTAGCTTAAGTGGATCTGATCAGGAGTAGATATATAATTTGATGCAATTCATTTAATTTGAAAACTTCATAAATAGTTGCTGTGCGAGCAAAATTAAAATTTATTTTTTAAAATTGATATTGAATAATAAAAATATTAATAAATAGTTAGATACATGGATTAAAATATTCATAAAATATAAAAAACAATACTGAGTGAACTATTATAAAATTTTTAAAAAACATTCTAATACTTAATTAAGTATAAACATCCTGCATGTAGCTATTTAAATTTGATTAAAGTTCAATTATAAATTAATCTCTAAATAAAATAAATAAATAAATTTGCATGAGTAAAATTTTAACTCAAATCATAGTTAAATTTAACTCGAACTAGATTAAAAAAGAATTAAATACTATAATATTAAAGTTAACTCTGGTAAAATAACCAAGTATACGTTAGCCAATCTTTTTGTCTTAAGCCTAAATCTAAGAATATCTACACGCATTCAATAGGTAAAGTATGAAAATCATTTTTAAACTAAATAAAACTAAGAGACAATAACGTTATAATATAACAAATAATTTATCACAAAGTCTTCCAACAAAAACATCAAATTTTTATCTCACTACATGGGTTAGCTACATGAATTATTTTTTCTCCATGCTGTCACTTTAAGAGTTAAATTTTCATTTTAATCAAATAAAAAAATAAGATTTGTAATATTTTCTAACCAAACATTTTTAGGTCTTCATATACTTTTCTTAATATAGGCCAAAATCTAATACATTCACTCTCCTAATGGGATCATCAGAAAGCTGGTGTTTTATGTGTTAAACCATTTAAGACATCTCTCTCAAATCTTATCTGTCACTGGAGCTACTATAACCTTTTTACGTATATACTTCACATTTTGTCTAAACGAGTAAAGCTACTCAAACATTTGAGCATTCTTATCTCTGTAATACTTAACTTAATTTTATGCTTCTATTTTTATGGTCATCATTCTATGCCATAAAGCATCGTATGTCTCACCATCTTATAAATTTTTTCCTTAAGTATGAGGGATACTTTTTTAGCGCACAATAGGCCCCATGCATTGCTCCACTTCAACCATCTAACTTGCATTTTACTAATAACATTCTCTTCTATTTTACCATCACTTTGAACAATAGACCAAAGATATCTAAACCGTTGAAGATGATTCATAAGAATGAAATAATTCTCAATTAGGAATTATAATATTATAAAATTGATCAGTACTAATAGTTATTATAAAGAAAACATAAATTCATATAAATTACAACATTTAATATACTAAATATGTTTCTTCTCCTCATTTAGAATTGGAGAAGATGAAGGAGAATGAAAATGAAGAAGAGAATCAAACCTGCAACTGAGAGGAGGTCAGGCACAGGTATATGCTAGAGTGCGACAACGTTGGCTGGGGTCGGGAGCTGCAAGCTGAACAACTTCCTTGCGTGCAACTATAAGGGGGTGGAATGGGGAAACAGAGGAAGGGGGATTCGGGTTGCTTACGATCGGGGGGAAACCAACAAAGGAAATCAGCTGGAGTGTGCAACTCAGATCGAAGGTCGGAATTGGCTACATCCTACAGGTCGGACGACTGATACTTCATAAGTGCCGAGTGCGGATGGGGAGAACCGTCCGCACAAGTATTGGGTACCAAGCGGTACCCGCACTCGGTACTGCTGGGTACCATTAGGTACTCAGTACTTGTGCGGATGGTGCGCACTCCACGCCTAATAGTTTTTCGCGTGGAAAAAGAAAAGAGAGGAGCATGAATCGGGAATCAAAATAACCACACAAAAATAGAAAAAAAAACTAATATAAATTATTATATTTAAGCGTAATTAAAGAACAATTACTATAATTAATTAATAATTAAGTAAGTTTTTAGTAGAGGCCCATGCCCCACAAGCTCCCATATTATATCCGCCCCCTGATTTAGTATAAGATGATTTGGCCCTTGCTTCAAATCTTAAAAGAAAGGATTATTATTTTAAATACATTTGACATGAAAATAAGCTTACGGGCCATTTTTTTGACCAAATCTTGCACAAGCTAGGTGGCTTAAGTTTGACTCAAGGGAGGAAAGCTTCTATATCCTCCGGGACAAAAAAAAAAAAAAAACCTAAGCTTAAGGTTAACAAGATTTAGGCAGATGCTGTATAATTGTTTGTTTGAGAAAAATTAATCAAAATTAATTGCTCTTAAAATTATCAAGTGTTTTTTTTTGTTCCTTTAGAATCTAGAAAATTTTATTGAAGAAATATCTAGAATATAGAAGGTCTCCTCTAGAATCTAGAACATTTATTATAAAATTCTCTAAATTATGTTAATTTATGTAATGTTTCTAGAATGATCTTGTACAAGTATAAATTGGCCTTTGGCCTTGTCATTTTGATGACGAGAAAAAAATATAATATATAATTTTGAATGCAAGTTCTTCTATTGTCATTCACAATGTCCTTCTTATTTCCCTCTTCTATTTTTACACACATATTTTCTCTATCAAGTGGTATCAAAGCCAAATTCGTTAAGAGATGGCAAGTGGTATGAATCTGCAAGTGCCTTATTTCACGAAGGAGAATTACAAGAATTGGAGTATTCAAATGAAAGTATTATTTGGTTCCAAAGATATTTGGCAGATAGCTGAAAAATACTATATCGACCATCAAGATGAAGCAAGATTATCAACAACCCAATAGGAATTATTGAAGAAACTATAAACAAGTACAAGAAAGTGCTTTTTTAAGTCTATCAAGTATTATATGAGGCAAATTTTAAGAAAGTGGATAATGCATCTACCTCAAAGCAAGCATGGGAAATACTTCAAGCTGCATATGAAGGCATAAATAAGATAAAGAATGTTTGACTTCAAACTCTCTAAGCCGAATTTGAAACACTTCAAATGAAGCAAGCAGAAAATGTGGGGGACTATTCCACAAGATTCTTGATTATCGTCAATTAACTATGAAGTTATGGAGAAAATTTAGAAGATATTTGAATGATAGAAAGAATTCTATGCTTAGCGAATGATAAATTTAAACATATTGCAATATCTATTAAGGAAGCTAAAGATATATAGTATATGACTATTGATGAACTTATGAGATTTTTAATGGATTATAAGCAAAAAAAAAAAAGGATACTATTGAAATAGTTCTCTAATTAAAGCTCTCATTAAATAGGGAAAATGATGGCACAAAAAAAATAAGATAATTCAGATGCTTGAGACATTTAAGGATAAGGTCACGATTGAGGTCAATGTCGTATTCATGGTCCTGGACTTGGAAAAGACTGAGGTTGTTTTGATGTCTCTGAATCTAATTTAGAAGAATTATTTGTATGTAGCCAGTAAAATAGTATAGTTTGAAAGTCATTAAAGTAGAATAGACGGGAAACTAGTAAACTAGTATGGTTATCAGAATAATAAAGTACTATATGAATCAGTATTATCAGTTATTAAAGAAATTATATGACCAGTAAAACCAAATCCTCACTAAAAATCATCTAAATTATATTAATATAATAAAATACTAGAATGGTCTACATATGATATCTAATATGTCATTAGCTTACTATCAGTATAGTGAATCAGTAGTATTAAATAATATCGATGTATATATCAATAATAATAACATTCTTGAGGAAGGAGCAATAAAATAATTCAACAATAGTAAATTCATACAATAATTATAAATCCATACAATAATAGGAAGAATATCTCAATAACATGCATTTCAGGAGTCACACTAAGTAAGAAATCATGGATTAATTAGTATTTTTCCAATATCATATAAGTATCTGTGAACCATTATCTTAGTAAACAGAGTCGTCACTCTTTTCCCATTAGCATAGTAATCATCTACTTTTAACTCTAATTAGTATCACATGATTCAGCAGAACATAACATCAAATTATAGTATTTAAAGGAAAACTCATCGACCCACAATACTGTATAAGTCAATCAATCTCCATCCAACATTAATGGATAACCAGTCTTTATTTTTTTTTGCCAACACATATATTACTATCACAGTACTATATCGGTAATATCAACTAATTATTACTCAATCACATACCCATATTAATTTTTAATACATTGTAGTAAATAAAGTATAATTGTGCTTAATTCATAAAGTTTTAAAATGTCCTAATAGTAAGCCACATAAAACCCTACAAAGCAAAGATTCACATTTTTAAAATTTAACCAAATTATGAGAGATTATATATAATAACCTTGTGAAGCTTTAACTAAACTATTTTTTTTAGAAATAAATTTTTTTTTGAATTGGTAAAAATCACAAATTTTCAAAATCAGTTGCTGAAAAATCCTAAATAAATAGTCAAAATATTAATAATCTCAATC